AGAGAGAGAGAGAGAGAGAGAGAGAGAGAGAAGGAGAGGTTTGGGTTTGATGAATAAAACAGAGAAACAGAGTGTGTTTTGGGTTAATGATGTAATTAAGTCAAGTTAATTAAAGGATTAGAACTTGCTACCATGCTCAACAAACTGATTAGTGTGGAGTGGATTTAATTATCTGAGACCGACGACTGTGGAGGAAAGAGAAAGTCACAGGAAGAGAGAGAGAGAGAGAAGAGAGTTGAAGATGCAGATCAGACGTCTCTCTAGACTGTGCTGGCAAAGTGTGATGGAGGTGGTGGTGGTGGTGGTTGGTTTCAGTTTATTTTTTGCGCGGGGTAAAATAGTAACTTCGACATCGGCTTTGTCCCACCGTTGGCAGCTTCTTACTGGAGGCAAGCGAATTAAATGATTGTACCGTTGTAGCAGACGCGTGGCGCTGCGTTACTGGTGTAAGGCCATGCTATTTTTTTTCCTTTTTTTAATTTACAAGGGCCATGCTATTTATATTGTGATCTTATAATACAAGTAGAATCATGCCTGCTTAATTTGCAGTTATAATTTACTCTTTTAACTTTTGCGACTTTAAAAGTATCTCTAACAGCCTAAAAAGCTTTGAAATTCTAAAATAGGGGAGTCACGTCAAAAAAACTCTCTTCAACAACTTATTCAACCTCAGTCATTAAACCTACCTATTTCTCCCTCTTTAGTACTGGTACGTTGACTTTCGCCCTTCAAACATTTAATTTTACTTTGAAAAAACAAAACCTACCTTGAAAATGTTAAAAACATGCATTTTTTTCTTTTTATATAATAAATACAAACATTTTTCACATGTTTTCATTTTTTTCCATGATATTGCATTCATGGAATTGAAGAGTCTATTGGAGCAAAAATTATTCATGTAGCAAATAAGGCTATTCAAATTACCACGTAAATCAACAAACTTCAATTTGAAGTGTTTTATTTGTTACTACAGTTAGAGACGTTCTTAGAGCATCCACAATCATGCTCTCTATTTTCAGTTAAATTTTCGCTAAAAACATATAAAAGTTATTTTATGAACTCTCTATAAAATTTAAACTTCAATCGTGTTCTCTAGTTTAGGGAGTCATAAATGTTATAACTCTTTTTTGATTGGTCCATCTTTTAATCGTGTTCTCTAGTTTAGGAAGTCATAGATGTTATAACTCTTTTTTGATTGGTCCATCTTTATTAAAAAAATAAAATAAAAAATAGTTAGCATTAAATAAAGGTTTGAAATACTCAATAAATAAATGTAGCATTAAATTATAGGGAGCCACTAGGAGTCCTTTCTCTCTCCTCAGATTTAGTAGTTTATTGAGGTCTCTCTATTTTAGGAGGTTGATAAGGAGCATGGTTGGAGTTGTATTTTTACAATTCCTCCCTAAAATTTGTCTAAGGAGGTGATTTAAGGAACCCATTGTGGATGCTCTTAGTCTTAGTTAGCAATAGTTTTTGAACTACAACCTAGCTTATCAATTTTCTCCTGGAATTTGATTGTTTAGATTTTGTAATCGTCAAATTATATATGACCATTTCCGTGTTATTGATTCTTTCCATCAACTTCCTCCGATTTGTGTGTTAGATAGGAGCAAATTATAGAATAATGTGCATTAAGCCATTAAGAAGGTTTTGTTGTTGGTGCTGCTGGAGGCAAAATCATAGAGCTCAATAGCTTACTTATCACGAAGTTGTACACTTTACTACTTTGAGTACTTGAAAATTGAACTAATGCAATAAGAGAAGGTTAATAATTAGATTAGATTAAAAGTGAAGTGAAAATACAAGGTGTGCCCTCAAAACTCACAAAGCTTAATTTCCAGGTAAGAGAGAAAAGACAACAAAAGTAAAATGTGGCATGTCCTTCAGTTTCACCCAACCATCTTTTCTTCGTTTTTCCTTTCGAATGGAATGCCTTGCACTTTCGGTTCAATTTCTTCACCTATGTGCACCTACATGCAGTCTCCTGTTTTTATTTTCTATCATTAGATGGACTCTCTCTCTCTCTCTCTCTCTCTCTCTCTCTCTCTCTCTCTCATGCTGATTTTGCAGAAGTACATATATATGTTGAGACTGATAAAAAAAAAAGACCATAAATGGAACAACTGGACTTTACTTAGTTTATATATCCGTTTTGACTACATGCAAAATGCAGGAAAAAAGTAACAAAGAAGCAGCTGTGGAACATGCAAGGAAAGTTCAAGGAAGACTGAAGGAAAATGAACCAGTTGGAAAGGAGCCTGAAATCATATGTGCTTTCCTTCTCACTGGCAGAGTTGCAGAGAGGGAGCAAAGAAGAACAATTATTTGTAATATATTGTCCTTTATTTTCTTTTGTTTATTCCTTTTGCCCTGGTTTTAATTCTTGAAGAGAATACAGCTCTTGCATATTTATGTGAAAGGGTCTGCTATTTTCATGTTCTGCAGGCAACTGGATACTCCTTTCCTTACCAAAATGCTAAGCATGAAGTTAAATTTAAATTTCTTATGAATTTCACCCAATCTTGGATTTGCTTAAAAACTTACATATTCATCATCATCATATATTTTAGTCTTGTGTTGAATGAACAAGATTAATTTCCTTAGTTTTGTGACTTTAATTAACTGTCTCCTCTCTTCTGGTTGAAGAGGAAGCTCACAGCGTGACCTTATCTTTGTCTTTGATATTCATGGTTGCTCACTGTCTTAGCATCTTATAACCTGCAATTACTTACAACCCCAAAAACATATGTTTTGTTCATATGCATTCTAGGTTTAATGAAGATAAGCATATATATATATAGAGGACTTGCACTGCATAAATAGAGGTTTCACATCTCCAACATATATATATTTCTAAGATTTAATTCCAGAAAGACATTCATGGTATTCACAGTTTTCAAACTGAAAATATAAACACTCTCTCTTTCTCTCTCTCACTCACTCATGATCAGAAACACATCACATCATCACTCTCTCTTGAGGTTTTCACAAGAGTTCTCACAAGAGTTCATAGCTAGGCGGCCAAGTAGGTGATCACATCTAGATATTCAACGACCTCTACCTCCACCTTTACGTGGTTCATGCCCTGGATTGGCCCCTGGCTCCTGATAATCCAGCATTGCATCAAGTGCAAGAAGCAGCTTTCTCCCTTTCATCATCTCAATAATCTTCACCTACATATATAGATCAATAATTATTTAATTAATCTAAAATCACTAAGAAACTTCTACATAGTTTGTATATAGCTTTACCTCATGACCACTTGAGTAGGTGAGCTCTATGCCATCCTTGAAGCTGTCAGCTCTGCCTGTAAATCAAAAAAGAAGAAGAGGGTTTGGTTCATTTTTCCTACCTCAACTGCAGAAAAACTGGAACTAAAGAGATTTGCATGCTCAAACCACTTCTTACCTGAAATTGGCAAATCAAAGAGCAGGAAGAGGATGATGAAAATTTTGACTTGAGGAAGCATCTTGGCTAG